TTAACAGTGTACGCGACGCTCGACAACAATAACTTACGTGTTTAAGGAGGATTATTGTTTACCTGAGAGCTGTTCTCATCTGCAAACGCTGAGATCGGATTTGCTTGTAATCTTCTCTTCATAAAGACGCGGCTCTAGTTGCTGGTGATTGTTCTGTCTCTACAGATTTGGTAAGTGAGCGACTAGTGCTCTTTGTTTATTCAGTTTGTTCGTATCGAACTAAGTTAACTATTGCACCGTAACATGTTAGGACCACAACCAAACTTTAACCTCGTGTAGGGTTTTTAACCACATTTAGTGACCGTAATAACACACGCGGCTTTCTGACGCTACCTGCCATGTGCATCTAAGTTTGGGGGAAATGCAGAGGTTTTTTTCTCTCATTCGCCGTGCGCTATCAAACATTGCATGAAAAATACACGCTTAGAGCAGTTCCTCAAATCAAATATCTCGTTTGTTGCGAGGGGCATGAATGAATTCCCTGAATCAAAGAGCCAAACTGCAGTTAAAGTCCAACATTTAATAATTTGGCAAGTAATTCCACTACAGATGTCCATGTAGGTTAAACACCTTCACTTTCTACTGTGTGTGAGTATTTTGACTGAAACTCGCGTGTGCCCAAATAGACACTCCCACACCCTCCCACTTTAGTTCCTCCGACACTCCCCCCTAAACAGAGCTGGACACGCCCACTTTTCTGACTTTTTCCAAAGTAGAGGTGTGAAAACACCCTGCTGAAACGAGGGGGTTTCATGGCCCTTTAACATTTGTTTTAACATTTTAACATCATAATTTTGTTGGGAAGTATAGTTTGTCTGATAAGAAAATGTTAGCATTATGGAAATGTGTTCACTGACGGCATATTGAGTAAAAACAACATGAAATGTGTGATTATGGTGTGATTGTGGTATTGCCACAAAAGACCGATGCTGTGCTAATTGTGTTTAGAGTTTAGAAATTGTCACAACTAGTTGGACAAACGCTGTTTAAATGTTATTAGGAGTCAGTAGTACATAGATAAAAAATATATGAGCATTTGTATTCATACAGTATATTTATTTGTGTATAAATGTATTACATGCAAAGTGCAATCTTGATTGTCCAATTACTGTATTACATATTTCATATTTCTTTTGTTAGCACACACACACACATACTACAAAATATCAACCATGAATAAACAAATTCTTGGTGGACATTCTGTCGCTCTTGTTGGCCTTGCCATAGATCTTTCAAAATCTTGTTACTCCAGTTTAGGATTGTGAATGTAAATCAATCAATCAATCAATCAATCAATCAATCAATCAATCAATCAATCAATCAATCAACCAACCAACCAACCAACCAACCTATCTATCCATCACCGACTCGGTCCCAGTTATTCCCCTCGCTGGCCAGCAGAGGTCACCATCACCGGACTATTGACATTACGTCATACACATACGTATTGCCGTGTGTATTGCCGACACACCTGAAGCACATCCAATAATCACTCACCACACACATATAAGCAGCACTCACACACAGCCTAATTGCAAAGTCTTGTTCTGCCCCGGCTAACAATACTGAGCGTTCTCATCCTTGCCTGCTTTCCCACTGTGATCCTGCTTCGTTTACTGACCCAGCCTTGCCTGCCGCGTGCCTTGTACTCCAGCCTGCTTACCGACTCTGATACTAGCCGCCTGCCTCTGACCCATGCCTGCTTACTCATTCTGTGTTTACCAGCCGCCAGCTCAACAACTACTTACTACTGTGTTTGATGTGAGTTTGCGCACGCACAACATCTGTGTGCTATTTGTTATTAAACTGTGTTTAATAAAAATACTGCAAATGGATCCCTCTGTGTCAGCCACTTCACATCTATCTATCTATGCTACCAATCTTGATTGGCAAATAAATAACATAAATTGTATTTAGGTCATTTACCAATTCAGCAGACATTACAAACAATGTCAATGTCATATGTATGGTGTAAACATGTTTCATAATTGAGTAAAACATTTTGAGTGTGATGGCTTTTACGATGAAAAATGGTTGAGAAGTTGTTAAGTTTGACAGTTTAAATGAGAATCAACTTTTCAGTTTTGTTCAACAAGCCATATGCAATTAGTTTTTGTCCAAACTACAGACAATTGTGTACTTACTGTTTGCACACATGTGCCACAGCATATGTAACTTGCTTAAAGATATATGAAAATGCTGCACTGAAGGGAACAATAAGCCAATTGATTAGAGAGCTAAACTTATTGTTTTGAAAAATAAAAAATTCAATCGAGAATTCAGTCAAAGCAATTGAGAAAAATGGTAATACACTAAATTTTATATTTGTGAGATCTAGTTTTATCACATAGCATTTTTTGACAAGGCGTATAGTCTAGAATGAAAACAAATGTCCAGTTTTTTCTTAAGAACAAAGCCTTGTTTTCTTCTCTCCTAAATGTCACACTAATGGGAAAGAACATACAAAAATCTCATACCTTAAGTATGTATTTGCATACGTTCTCACTCAACACAGAAGAATTTGCTTGTGCAAGTGATGCATATAATTTGCAAATATTTAAGGAATGCAACAGAATGACAGCCACCTTTTGTATTTTTTAGTTTTACCAATTTTTCAAAAATCAGTTTTTGTTCTCGTACACTGACTCTTAGCTGAATTCGTGAGCCCAACGAGAGGAGACATTTGGAACAAAACCAAATAAACTAGCCTGACAGATGCTCACTGATGGCCTGGTGCTGCCCAATAGTTGACTCTCAGCTTGGTGTTTCCTGGTCTTTAAAATGATTACTGGGTCATTTATTTTGATGGTCCGTTTGTTCAATTTAAATTACATTGCATCAACATGCCAACTAATTCCCATTAGATTATAGAAGAAACTCAATACAGAGGAACATAACACAACCTACTACCAGCTAGGGTTTCTAGTTGTTATTGCAGAGCAACACAAACAGCACGCAGAAGTCTATATGCACAGCTACATGCAAGTCATGGCCTATGGGTCACGGCGATTGCTTGATGCAGAAGTATAAACCAGCCTATAAGGGACCAAAAATCCCCCGCCTCAGCAGGGTGTTTTCACACCTCCAGTTTGAAAAAAGTCAGCAAAGAGGGGGAGTCCAGCTCTGTTTAGGTGGGAGTGGCAAGTGGCAAAAGAGGGAAGGGTTTGCTAAAAATTGGGAGGTTTGGTTCGAGCACACATTGATTTTCACTTAGGCAGAACAGCACACAGATGCAGGGGATTTCAGCTGACGGCTGCATCAAAGTAATCAAGAAAAACAGTGATGCCGAAAGCTCAAAGACGTCACGGAATTCACACAAAGATCTAATCACGGTGATGTAGCTACAAAATCTATGTTCAAACTGGAAGAACGAATTTGCAAAAACAACCAATTTTCACTTTTCAGTGAAATATATGTGTCCTCATAGTGTTTTGAGCAGCGTGGGACACATACAGTTGAAGTTTGAATTATTAGCCCCCTTTAATTTCTTTTCTTCTTTTTTAAATCTTTTCCAAATGATGTTTAACAGAGCAAGGAAATTTTCACAGTATGTCTGATAATATTTTTTCTTCTGGATAAAGGCTTATTTGTTTTATTTCTGCTACAATACAAGCAGTTTTTAATTTTTTAACACCATTTTAGGGACAAAATTATTAGCCCCTTTGAGCTATATTTTTTCTCGATAGTCTACAGAACAAACCATTGTTATACAATAACTTGCCTAATTACCCTAACCTGCCTAGTTTACCTAATTAACCTAGTTAAGCCTTTAAATGTCACTTTAGCAGTTTAGAAGTGTCTTGAAAAATATCTAGTAAAATATTATTCACTGTCATCATGGCAAAGATAAAATAAATCAGTTATTAGAAATGAACAGAGTGAAACAGAAATTGGGGAAAAATAAACAAGTGGTCTAATAATTCACGGGGGCTACTAATTCTGACTTTTAACTGTATATGACTGACAACATCTCAAAATATGTGTTTTGTTGTTTCGTGACCCTTTAATGCATATACAAGTGTGCAATTTAGACTGTGATAAAATTGCAACAATATACATAAAAAATATAAATGGTTTTCCTTTGCACCTTCACATAGAGATACAATTGTGTCAAAAGGATTTTGTTTATGCAGATTTGTAAATTTGACCTTAAAAGCAGTGTTATGCACACCATGCCAGTATGTGGAGATGTCAAGGAAAACACATCTGTTCACATATAGTCAACTAATCAGACATTGTTGTGTTAGTTGTCAAACAGTCATGCATGTCTATAAACTGAACATGTATTATGTGCCAACCTGATTTTGCCAAGTAGCACATGTTACTGGATAAATATCTATGTTAATCCTGGAACAACATTCCAGTCATCCAATCAGAATTAAGGGATATGTTTATAGTTTATGTTAAGTTTAGGTTCACAGTTAGGGTTATGCACTTCTACATGATTATTCAACTATTATTCCCCTTCGATTTGGGAATGGGTATGGATTACATTTCAGAACCAAAATTATGTTCCAGGATCCATAGATGTTAATCCAGGTTCACATCTTACTTTGTAAAATCATAACATGCTGTAATATGCAACGCAGGCTCATTCTGAAAACATAGTCCTTTAGACTTTTCTGGAGACCGCGAAATATGTACCGGGGGTAAGTTTTTTTTTTTTTCAGTTCTGTTTTCGCGAATCCATGAGAGGTGGCTGTGTATGCTTTTTGAGATCTCAAATTTCTCATTTGAGTGCCATTCGCACCTGCTGTTCTCGCGTGAACCCACTAGAGGATGCTGTCGGCTGACTGTTTGACTGACTGACTGAATGACTGCCCAATCGACTGACCCGCCCACCTAATTCCCAAAACCCAATCAACAATTTTCAAAAGCAATCCGAAAATAGAGCCCTCGTCTGATTTTTACCACGTTTTATCCCATTCTCACCCAGTTATTAACTTGTTTATTTTATTTTTTGGATTCTGTTTTTGTCCTACCTGCTTTCTGAAACCGTCATGGTCAAGTCCTCTCTAAGTCTCAAGACCATCGACGTACATGGCGAGCTAATGGCACAAACTGGCTACAGGAAGAAAGCCGCCCATATGGTGGTAAGCTGTAAGCTGGTAAGCGTGAAAAGGAACAGCGTTACAATGCGCGGTAGCGTTTATTTTGAAGAGAAAATGCAGCCATACCTACCTCTGGTTACATAATTTGCGGTCTCCAGAAAGGTCTATAGGGCTACGTTTTCATGATGAACCTCAGTTGGTAATATGCATGAGCATGATGTCACTATTTTCCTAAATATGTTGTTGTTTATTCTAAAACAGAAAATGTATTGTTTTCAAAAACATCCCCTCTTAAACTCATTGAACATATTGTTGAATGTGAAATATGTATAATATGTTTTCCATTTTTTGTTGCAAATGGTCATAAAAAACACATTGGTAACACTACAATAGCAGTACATGAATAATGAGGTGGTAATATGCTAAACTAATAACTAAACATCACTTTATTATGGACTAAGGATAAGTTAATGTATGCGCTAATCATGAACTAACTTTAACTACAGCATGAGTCACATGTGTTCAGGTGTGAATAACGGCAACCATAATTACCTGTTAGTGTAACCGTCGGATGTGACACTGACAACAAAGTTCGGATCCACATGCAGATTTATTGGGGAGGTCAGGCAAACAATGGTCAACACTGGTGCAAACAGATGTATGAAGACGATCCAGAAACCTGGTCGGAATAACAGGCAAGAGGTTAGAAGGTTGGCGGCAGACAGGGATACACAGATTAACAAGGCGAGGGTCAAAACACGGAAAAACAAGACAAAGTAAACGCGTTGTATTGTCACTTTCACTCACTCAGGCAGGATGAGGAACATGTGTGTGAGCGGAGTGCATGTATGTAGTTGTTGTCCATGAAATTGCAGTTTTATAGTCCGTTAGTATATAGTCCGCAAGTTTTCCAGCGATCTATGGGGTTAAGATCGCTGGTGATCGTGACAGTTAGTACATGTTTGTTATTTAATGTATTAATTACCCCATTACTTCATGCTTAATTTAACCATCATGAACTCATAACTCATGATTTGTTAATGTATAATTATATTATGACCTCACTTGGAGGGGCACATCATCATTAACCCATTCTTACCTGCTCATGAACTTCTTATGCACGTCCAACTAGGGCGGTTACACTGAATAACAGTAGAAATGTGTCCTGTCAACATCAACATGAACAGTTTAAACACAGGAGTTCATGGTTAGTTGAGTTAATGATGATATGTCACTTCAAGTAAAGTCATGACATAATTATACATTAACAGCTCATGAGCTCATGTTGGTTACACTTAAACTTAAATGTTAATTAATACATTAACAACATGTACTAACAAGTAATTAAGGCAGCTGTTATTCACACATGAATTCTTGTGACGCATGTTGTGGGTAAAATTCATGATTAGCACATACATTAACTCATTATTTATTTATAATAAATTAATGTTTAGTTTACATATTAATACATCATCATTAACATCAAGTACTGGTATTGTAAAGTGTTACCAACATATTCTTAGAATTTGGTTATTAAGTATGAAGTTGGAATATTTTCTATATATAGTTACAGTTATGACATGTTTTTTTAGCATTTCATTGAACTTTTTCATTTCTGTTTCTTTCCCAGGCACAATCTACGTCAGAGTAAACAGTTTGTCTTCTTGCTTAAACTGACATTCTCAGTTTGTGCCATCATGTTTGCCATTCATATCTATGTCATGCCTGTAACGCCACCTGCAACTTTCTATAACGATATTGTAAAGCAGATACGGTCCTGCTATATGATCAACGAGAGTCGTTCCACTAATATTACTCAAAACACAACCACTGTTGGACCAACAGCCACCAAACTCCCTTCACTGCGGTATCATGTGGCTCATCCACTCAACTATCATTTCATTATGGATGAACCTGTTAAATGCAGTCAATGGGATCCATTTGTGGTCCTGATGGTACCTGCAGCCCCAAATCAGATTGAGGCTCGAAATGCCATCCGGAGCACATGGGGGAATGAAACGACAGTCCAGGGGAAAGCAGTGTTAACTCTGTTTTTGGTGGGTTTGACTGTAGGAGGAGACTCTGAAAAAGCTCAACAGCAGCTGGAGGAAGAGAGCCGACAACACAGAGATTTAATCCAGAGCAACTTTGTGGACTCCTATTTCAATCTGACCATAAAGACCATGGTGATGATGGACTGGTTGGCCACTCGATGCCCTCAGGCGACTTATGCTATAAAGATCGACACTGACATGTTCTTAAATGTAGAGAACCTTATGACCTTCCTATTGGCACCAAACACACCTAGAGAAAACTACCTGACGGGGGTGTTGCTGTGGAACCGGCCCGTTGTGAGAAATAAAAACTCTAAATGGTACGTTTCAGAAGACATGTATCCCGATTTAACATACCCCACATACCCACTGGGAACCGGATATGTGTTTTCCAATGACCTGCCAGAAAAAATAGTGGAAATTTCCAAGGAAGTACAGGCGTTTAATATAGAAGATGCATATATTGGAGCTTGTCTGAAACGTTTGGGTTTTGAACCCTCATCTCCTCCAGACCCTTCTCTGTTTAGGATCTATATGACGTATAATCGAGAGGAATTCCTCAAGATCATCTCCACAGATGTAGGATCCCCACAGCAAATTCTGAACATATGGAAGGATGTTAAGAGCCCCCCAAAAAAGATATGATCAAAAATTAAACAAGTCCAGTTTTAGGTTTGGAAACAAATGTTGATGCTGGCATTTTCCATTCATAAATTCACTGCATGTAACGGTGTTGTAACAAATAAAGGCTCGTCATCATAATCATTTGCATTCTTTGCTGCAGATTCTAAATGTTTCTACAATGTAAAGTCTAGGACAAGGATGTTCAACCTGTGGGGTGCGAAATTAACAACCCAAGCTCATTCTGAAAACGTAGTCCCGCGCACGTTTCTGGAGACAGCGGAATACGTCCCGGGAGGTACGTACTGCTGCATTTATTTATTTTTTCAAGCGAACGCTGCGGGGCGGTGTGACGCTGTTCCCCTTTCGCGCTCGCCCGCTGACCGCTCACCTCCTTGTGGAGGGCTTTCCCGCTGCAATCCGTTTGTCCATTCAGCTCACCGTGTAACGTCGGCAGGCTCGAGAGACGCAGAGAGGAGGAGTCGACCACGGCGATCGGTTTCGAGTCCGGGGGAAAGCAGTTCCAGCAATCAGGTAAGTTAAGACAAAAACAGAATCCCTAAAACGAAGTGAACGAGTTTCGTGACAGGGCGAGAACGCGGCGAAATCCGAAAACGCGGTGGGATATTAAAAAAAATAATAAAAAAATAAGGGCTTTTATTTTTTTGGACGGCTTTTGTAAATCGTTGCTCGGGTTCAGGGAAGCGAGCGGGCGGGCGGGTCGATCGGTGAAATTGGTTGGGTTGAGGTAAAGAGGAGGGCGGTCAGCCGATTGGCCGGTTGACGCGAGAACAACGCGGGCGCGAACCACGCTCGCGAGAGACGTTCGAGATGAGAAAAAGCGCACAACGGCGGCCTTTTGCGGAATCGCGAAAACAAAAACTGCAGCCGTACGTACCCGCCGGGACGTATTCCGCGGTCTCCAGAAACGTCCGCGGGACTACGTTTCCACAATGAGCCCGGGTTGGAATTTAAGGAGTGCACTCCAGTAAATTATGATGAGGATTTTTATGTGTTCACTAGAGTGAATCTGATTAATATTTGCTCCACATCTAACTATCAGGTACCTGTAAAGTTAATGCGTTTGAGTAAAACATATACAAATAAAATAGACCAGGTGCTTTTTAAAATGAATGATGGCGAATGAAAGTAAAACCAAGTCAAAAACAGTGCATTTCTGAATCAAATCAGTAGAATGCCCTTCTGTATATTTCACTACTGACCACATTTACATGGACATCAGTAATCTAGTTATTTGCCTTAATAGACAATAATATAATTAATGTTTACGTGAAGTGATTTTTGAATGTTGCATCCACAGGCTATCCACGTTTCCTGCAGATATTTCATGTAATTTTGGGTGACTTTAACTGCAGGTCAGGAGTTTCACTTTCACTCATGAACATTTTATTCATGCCCCCATGACAAACTGGGGTATTGGACGCAAATAAGGTGTAAGGACAGGGTGAAAGAGTGTTGCTTTAATGGAATTTAAAAACGTTCACTGAATGGAAAGAAAAAAACTTGCGCATTTTGCAATATGTCTGCGTTCCTGTACTGACAGCCGCGTGTGTGGATCTTGACGGAAAATATGGCGAAAAGTCCTACATGGCGGTAATAGTTTGATTGTGGTGTTTACTTCAATAATGCCACTAATATATGCATACTCCACATTTTAATTCTATTTCTGTGTAGTTCAGCTATGACTTTAGTCGGATTAAGGTAACCGAAAATCGCTGTTTACATAGTAGACTCCAAATCAAAGTATTGGCTTAATTGTAATAAGTGGAAAAACTTCACTTCAGAAAAAACTTCACTAGAGAAAAAACAGTTAAACAGACCACCTACAGCGCAAGAAGAGATTAGCCTCCTCATTATCTGCTTTCACTTTCGCGCTCGTGGATAGGGAAACCTTGTACGCCCAGACATCAGTTAGCCTATAAATAATTAATTTTGTTTGTTAAGCGCAAAAATTTGTTTCAAAACTATTTCTAAATTCAGTTCTAATTTACAGCAAATTAATAAAGGAACAATAATAACAAAGTACATCAAAAGCAAGTATTCTACAGCTCTCATTGACATTGAGCACGTGCACGTCTAGAACGTGCTGATGTGAGACGTCTGCTTTAGCCAGTCAGAACAGTCAGACGCGTTCACGTCCTTTGAATATTTTTCCGGACACATTTAGCTGATAGAAATTCGGCAGATAACGTTTATATGTTTATCTTAATGCCAACCGTGTAAATAGTTATAGATAAGATGCTTATGATAAGCTGTTGTATGTTTACCTTCAAGCTTTGCGTGTGCCCGTGAAACAGCCCGTGAGCGCCAGAACACACATATCATGTACATCTCGACACGGCAACAGGTTTTTCAGCGCTGTGTCAGCGATCTCTGGGTATTCTGCCATTACTTTAATCCAGAACACTGGCAGAGTTGTTCTCTTGAACACTGTTTTAAGGCCGCCGTCATTTACGATCTCCAGCAGTTGGTCTTCTTCTTGCACGGACATGCTGGATTCAGCTGGTTTGTTGACAAATGGGTCACGTATCCATTCCCTAGCGGTTTGTGGGTCCTTTGAGGTTGGGAAGTAGCGCTCAATCTCCTTTAACAGCGAAGACTGATGATCGTGCACCAGCTTGGTGAGTGAGGGGGCAGGCTCAGTCTCACACAAAATCCCCGCTAATGTTTGAAACATGTCCAATATGCCTCAGTTTGGCTTTAAATGCAGCTACTTTATCTGCCAATGTAATGGAGGCCAGCTAGTGTGTGCTCTTTAGCCTCCTTGGTAGAGCAACCGACTCCCATGCGGAAGGTCGCCGGTTCGATCCCAGCTCTGGTCGGGTTGGGTGGCGTAGGACCGGCGGGGTTACACCAACTTAAAGATAATTAATTCTTGTGTGGCCCGCTACTGATTGATCCACGCGGCCTGGGGGTTGGGGACCACTGCTGTAAATGACATCCCAATCTTAATCTGTTGGTTAGCCTATCTGTAATTAGACCCGATATAAAGAAAAATGGCAGAAATCAGAATTCAGCTCAAATTCGGTTCCAAATTCAAAGTTGGTGTTGGGATTAAATATCTAAGCTGAGCCCTGCCTATTGGTGCATTATGTTCTGTAGAAAATAGATAGGCATAGGCAGGTTTGTATGGCAGCATTGTAGCTCAGTGGTTTTCACTGTCGCCTCACAGCAAGAAGGTTGCTGGTTTGAATCCCAGCTAGACTAGTTGGCATTTCTGTGTGGAGTTTGTATGTTCTCCCCATGTTTACGTGGGTTTCCTCCAGGAATTCCTTCATTTATTCTGTGGCGACCTCTGAACTAGAGACTAAGCAGAAGGAAAATGAATTAAGCAAATGTGTCAAAAGGACAATGATTATTCCATTATGCCCCCATTTAAATGATCTTAATTTATTCTGCACGTTTTACTTTTTGAATGATTATGTGTGAAAAGGTGTTCACACAGTGCATCTTGCGAGTGACTATGTTCAATTGTACTAACCCAGTGAACTGTATTTCTTTTCATTTTTAACAGTCAAGTTTCAGTAATATACAACATTTCCTCTAGCAGTGCCACTTTCAGCATTAAGATGCAGTTTTTATGCAAAGTCAGTTCACAGTCTGTATTCAGTGTGATTGAAGAAATCTCTTTCTGTTGAGATGCCCTCACTCTCTGCATGCAAATACAGCAGTGAAATTAACTTTATTTGCATTCAGAATTGTAAGGACGGCTAAGTTTTTCTATAATATCAGACCCTGAGAACTGTTGTGAATATCCACGAGGCAAGATCATAAATCTCCAGCACCAAAACAACAAACTTTCTAATTTGAGAAGAGGATCAGCTAGGAAACCAGTTGTTCAACTGTCTCAGTCACCCACCCTGAGGCCCTTCTTCTCTCTGCCCTTGACTTTACCTTCTCCACCAGAGCAGCCAATGACCCAGACCCAATGTTTTTTTTTTTTACAATCGTATTTGTTGAAACAATTAAAGAAATCTCCACGATGGTGTTTTCAAGACTTTCAGGAAAAAAAAAATTGTGTGAGACTGATAATCGCAGCCAGAGGAGAGCATAGGGTCAAATTCACTCTCAGCCCCATAGACGCTGCATTACAAACACCTTGCATAAGCAGTAATTCATTTTTTTTGTAATTTGACACAAAGATGATATAATAAATTCATAAATGCATATAAATGTTCATTCAATTAAAAAAAAAAATTCTAAATATTAAAAACTTTTAAGGACTTTTATGATGACGTTTCATAACAATTTTGTGAAAAGGGACCATAGCTTGCCTAATTACCCTAACCTTCCTAGTTAACCTAATTAACCTAGTTAAGCCTTTAAATGTCACTTTAAGCTGTATAGAAGTGTCTTGAAAAATATCTAGTCAAATATTATTTACTGTCATCATGACAAAGATAAACCAGTTATTAAAAATGATTCATTAAAACTATTATGTTTAGAAATGTGTTAAAAAAAATCTTCTCTCTGTTAAACAGAAATTGGAAAAAAAATAAACAGTGGGCTAATAATTTTGACTTCAACTGTAAAAAGTAAAAACAGTGAAATTGAGACCACTTTACCATTCGCGCATATACATTTAAAATGACACCAAACATGAATATATAGTCACAAAATTTTAAAAACTTGATCTGCTCTGGTGGAGAAGGTAAAGTAGAGAGCAAAGACAGCTGAACAACTGGTTTCCTACAGTAGCTGATCTTTTTCCCAAAAAGCTTATTGTTTTATTGCATAACAGTTCTCCTGGAATTCCATAGCAGTTCTTGGGGTCTGATATTATGGAGAGACTTAGCCATCTTTACACTTTAAAACAAAGGTGTCAAACTCCTGGAGGGCCATAGCTCCGCACAGTTAATTCCAACCCAAATAAAACACACCTGATCAAACTAATTGAGTGCTTTAGGCAATGTTTAAAACCTACAAATATGTGTGTTGAAGCAGGGTTGGAACTAAACTATGCAGGATTTGACACCCTTGCTTTAAAATGACCAAAGAGTTGCAATAATATTTTCGATTTCAAGCTTTACTCTTCTGTAGTTACACTTTGTACTAAGACTTACGGAAACTAAAAAGTTGCTATTTTATTCACTCAAAAAATGTTCTAACTGCTTATTCAAAATGGGCTTAAACACAATTTTTGAGCTTTTAAACAAAATTCTGGAGCAGGGGGACAACTTCCTTTTTCTATGTTCAATCAACTTTGAAAAAAAAATGTTTGAAAAACCATTAAGTTAGGCAAGGCAAGT